ATTTCGCATAATGTTACTAAACATAAATGGATAGGAAAGCTGATTTTATATAGCTTTCCGCTAATGGACTCGTCAGCTTGGTTTTCCCGTTTTTGCAACATTTTTCATTTCTGCTCCACTCCTATTAGTTATAGCTTGATGAAAATAGCCTATAGCCTTTCTCAATAAATGAACTATTCAATATAATAAATAGTTTTTCAATTCGAACCAGTAGCTTCTGAGATAAGCGAGTTCAACCAAACAAACAAACATACTCCTCAACTTTATAATAATATTCATGTATTATATATATCCTATATTATACATAAAAAAAACTTCTCAATCACCCTATCTATTAAAAAAAAACCGCATCAAAATCCGTTCCGTAGTTTTAAAGATGAAGTAAAGCGAACATAGGGACAGACAGACAGCCACTTTGTTTTATATTATGTATTGATAGTAAAAAATTTGCTTATAATTATGATAAAAATAACAATATACTTTCAGATACAGATGAAGCTTAATTTCCCCCATTTATTAACAATGTACGTATAATGAAACAGTAAATTTGCCAGTCAAGTAGTAATGTTAATCCCACAAGAAGGGTTAGAAGGTAAAGTATCGGTTTCCTAAGGAAGTGCTCGTAATTGCGAAGTACTACAAGTGAACTCACTTGACCGCTTAATACCTTGGCCCTTTTTATAGTCTATCAATTCGCATAGTATAAAGTAAAACATTAATAGTATCTAACACACGAATACTCAAAAATCTGATCTCTTTTTTTTATTAGAGTCAATTTTAACATTTTACATCCCCTCTCAGCAAATAAATTTTATTTAATATAAACCAAATTTTAACAACATATTATAACGCATTTCAACACCGAAAAGAAAAAAGTGGGCAAGTGCAAGTAGTATACGTCCATGAAGGGTTTTTTATATACTTTGATTTACGTAGTGTTTATTTAAAGACACAGTTATATTTGCGGTTTTAATATGAGCTCTAAATTAAAAACTGCTGATTTGTCTCGTTCAAAACGATTTTCAAACGTTTGTAAACGTTTTAAGACGATAACAAATGTTATTCTGAAGGACTTCTTAATTTAATTTAATTTTCCATAAAAACCATAAAACAGTTTACGGAATCCATCTACTTCCCAAGTTAGAACTATATAGTACTAATAATTTCATTCAATTAAAATTTGAAAACACTACAAATTTTGATTAAAATAATTTTGTATCAAATAAAATAATAACAAAATGGTGAATAAACCAACATTTGTACGTAGAACACTACAAGTTTTAATTATCTATATTGTTACCAATCCAAACTTTGACCTACTGAAAAGTGGGTATCGTGTTATCGTTCGGGTAAACCCGACGACTCGAAGTTGGTAACCCTGCGGATGATAGACCAATAACCGATAATGCATTTAGAATCGCCACAAGTGCAAACCAACGGATCGCCGCAGAAAGGGGTCTTCGACCGTTACTTTGAATCTATTGATACATTTATAACTGACAGAAGAATATCTACTTTTTTATTTGATCAATTTTTGCATTCAAAATGCTATACTGGAAAATATTCATAATAAAAATTTATCAAATATAATAACTACAAGAAATTTTCATCTTTATCTAAAGTATAAATTATTTGTAAAAAAAATTCTTTCGGCTGTTTGGATGGATTGTCTGAACATTGTTAAAAATACACTATGTAGTAGCGAAACAGTAAGAAGTGCTTGAACAATTCATCAGTCTTATTAGGTCATGGGTAGCTCATTGGTAAGAACAGTCGCCCGCCCGAATTGTAATAGGTCGTGGGTTCGAATCCCATCTCAGAGTACCTTTATCCCTGATAAAAATCCATTGAAGGCCTATTTTATTTATAGGAAAAAAATCGTCTATTTTCGAAATACTAATATGACTTCAAAGTAAAACATACACTGCCTCTGATGCACAGATAATCTTCACGAATATAATTTTAACATTTAATATTACGAAATGTTCTGTAGTTTCGTTCTATTACAAATACAATAGACTCCCAGGTAGAATCAGAAAAGACTCGAGCCTTTTAGGCTTAAATTTAAAGCTTCGAGTCCTTTTTTCAGACGTACTTATAAAATAGGCCTACTAAGAGTTCCTTACTAAAAAGGCTCGAGTCTGTTTTTGAGCTTAGGCATTTTTTAAAGTTCGGGCCTTTTTTGAAGGCTGGAGTCGTAATTGGAGCTTTAGCTAGTTGTAATAAAAAAAAAGCCTAGTCAGGTTATATAGAAATACAAAATATTATTGATTAAAGTATTATTTTAATTTATTGTGAAAATGATAATAAAATGGTAGATATACCGGAAATATATTGTATAAATGTGAATATTTTTTAATCGTTAGACAATTAATATAAAACTTACTTTTTTCCTTCCTGTATCATTGTACCACTACATTTTTTTATATCTCATGACCAACCCCAAAGAGGAGAAGGAAGGAGCCAAAAGCCTTTTTTTAATATCCCTCTAGGGCTTAAAGCCTATTTAGACTTTTAGCCCTGTCAATAAAACTGCGAGTTTGAAAAGGAAACTAAACTAAAAAAATACTCGAGTCTTTTTATACTAGTCAAAAGCCTTTTTTAAATAAACCTCGAGGGCTCAAAACCTATTTAGCCTTCTAGCCCTGTCAATAAGGCTGCAAGTCTAAAAAAAAGGCTAAAAGACTGGAGTCTTTTCTATCACTACTCCCAGGTATCATCTCAATTCGTACGATTTAAATACTTGCTGCTTCTCATGAAATCAATGTCCAAAAGAATGGAATAACTTTTAAACGGTTTAATCGCGTTTGTATTTAGGTCGTTTATTGACGTTTACAGGTTCCGTGTTCACATAAAACTAAGGTGTTGATTGTCTTGTTAATTAGGAGTATAGCAAAAACTACCGAAATCTACCATCAGTTCCAAATTTGGAAGTCTGAGAAGAACTGGTGAAACAAACTCCGACCAGAAAAGTGAATTGCTCCCTTTGTTTTAATATTTACAGAATGAATAAAATGTGGAGTCTGGATTGAGATTTATTAGACAAATTATTAGGCCTTAAACCAGTGGTATATGCCAACCTTCATCTCTATTAAAATTCGGATGTTTTGTAATTCCAAGAGCCTCGCGTGTTCTAGGAAGGAATTTGTTCAGACGCAAGTATTTTTGAATTGTCAAATCTTATATAAGAAATCACAATGTCCAAAAATATTTTTAATTAATGTGCCCTTGCCTATTAATGTGCACACTGTTGGAGCTCTGACCTTCCCTGTAGGCAAAATTTAATTGATACTTTATAAACACAAAACAAAACCTCAATAGGACAAAACATGAATGAACTACCAAATCCCTTAAATCGATACCATTTTCTTTTAAAATCGAGTGAAAAAGGAATGATAATAATTGTTCGGGTCACTTGAAGTAAAGAAATAACGCAAACTATTTTAAATATTATGTATCCGAAACATTTCAATACTATATCGTGTTAAATTATTTTGAATCTTTATTGCACTAAATATCTCATTGAGAGATCTCGTGATTTTGATAGAACAATCATCTCAAAAATCAAAGATCAAATATCAAATCTAAAACTACAAATCCATACTGTGCATATATGAATGTTTACGATAATGTAGACGTTTACTCATAAAAATCCCCTCTCCCTGGGGTGGGCACTCAAAAACAAAGCCGGGGTGACTGCCTTGTGAATATTTCAGAAGGTCTTCGCTTTGTCGGAATATTAAGTCAATGGGGGTAATTGATCTGTTAAACCCCTAGTGTATGAAAATGTCCGTGATACATTTTTAAACAGGATGTAATATTAATGAGGTATTGCTATTCTGAAGGCAGTGTTTGCTATCGGGCTGACTCTAATATATTATCTACAATCTAGATACATTTTCAAAAGGGTCTCTTCAAGGGAGAAATTTAAGGAAATAGAAATAATGACTGTTGCTTCTCAATACATATACGAGAACTTAATGTACGTCCGTAAAAATATTAGTTTGTTTTCTATAAAAAGTGATATACACAATTTGAATACAGGATATAAAAATTACTTAACGGTGCCTGTCGCTAGACTGCAAAAAATTAGTAACTCATTCAGGGGTCTTTGTGTGCCCTTCTATAAGGTCCCAAGCAAAATACAACAATTAGATCTCATGCAGTTTAGATATACTATTGAAAAAATACTTATTAAAAAAGCTTATTATTAGGTATCCGAATATATAACAGATAAGAATGCTTCTAAACCCAAACTTCTAAACTCAGTATATATCAAAAATTATCTTGTTTCCATTATTATTAAATGATAATGTTATCATTATAAGAGCATAGTTTTTTTTTTCTCTCTCTCTATTTTTAATGTATTGATCTGGTAATGGCAAGGTTTTTGTGATTATCATTACTCCTATTAGAGCTAGTGAGTTTCTTGCTCGTTCTTCTTATCAGCCAGAAGACGTTCTTAACGAGTGGTAGGGAAAAAATGTTGGAGGATTCAAAAGTACTTTTAAGAAGTCTATTTGAATAAAGATTATTTTGACTATGACTTTGTTGATATCGAATATAGGAATATTATTTTAAAGCGACCTTCATAGTCAAGCCAAGTGACTGCTTGACCATGGTCTTAAGTATAATAATCAATAAACTTAAAGGCAAAAATATTTCTTCTCCTGTTATACTATTCTTTGGTATTATAATTTCAAATAATTGATTTGTAGTAATTGGTTTTCTTGAACAAGAAAAAGTTATTCTTAAATAGAATTTATCAAATAAATTCCATCTCAAATTATTTATTTAATTTTTGTTTTTTATATATACGATATATTAATAATATTGTTAACTGATAGTTAAGAATCACAATTACTTAAACTTCAGAAAAATCTCTGATTTGAATAGTCATGGTACAAATTTATAGCTCGTCAAATTATACAATTATTTCTATAACCGATATTAAACCTCAATTTATTTAAACCAAAATTTATTGCTGAAAATGGTGCTGCTCATAGCAAAATATGCTGCTGACTTGACAATAACCTGGCTGGAATTAAAACCCAGAATCATGGTATAACGATACAATAAAAGCGTCCTAGAAATAAAACTATTGTCAAACAAAAAAGATACCAACCTCTCCCACTTCTCCCGACGAATCTCAGGTCATTGAACTTCGCCACCTGGTTCTTCATGACCGCCGTACAGTTCCTAAGCTCTGCTGAGCAATTCTCGTCGTTGCCTGCCCGCACGGTGACTAAAGTTCCGTCACCGACGTCACCCAACGCCACTACCTTGAAGGCCACTGGCAAAGTCTTATTTGATCTCCAATGTGGCGGTAGAACAGTACAGACCTACAAATAAAACATTACAACCGATTAAAATTTGTTTATTAATCGTACATAAAATAATAATTTAGGTACGTAGTTATAATAAGGATCTCCAATGTTCTTAAACAGTTCCAAAAGTTTTCTACTTTATTTTTATTATACTACCAAGGAGGAGAAATTTGTGATTAAAGTGACCAGTACGACAAAACGCCAATTTCATTTGTAAGGACCTAATAATTGGAAAGATTAAAAAGCTTGAAAGGTGGATACCTCACGAACCGAGTGAAGCAAACTGGCATACGCGCTACGACTGCTGCGTTACATTACTTACCCGCTACAATAATGAAGGGTTTTTAAATCGAATCATTACCTGTGATGAAAGTGGATTCTCTACGATAATCGGAAGCGCTCATCGCCAGGGTCCAACCCTGGCATGCCAGACATATCCTGCCCCAAGCAAAAATTGACCCCAAAAAAAAGTAGTCCACTAGTGCCGGTGTCGTTCATTACAGTTTTCTCAAATCTGGCCAGACAATTACGGCATACGTCTATTGCCAGCAATTGCAAACCATGCTGGAAAAACTAGCAGTTAAATAACCGATCGGCTGGTCAATCGCTCTACGCCACTGCTACTTCACGACAACGCTAGACCACACACTGCACAACTACCAAATTAGAAGAGCTTCAATTGGAATATCTAAGACATCCACCGTACTCCCCGGATCTTGCTCCAACAGATTACCATTTTTTTTCGAAATTTGGATAACTTCAGTGCAGTGCAAATCGACTTCAAAGATTTTATAAATTCCCGTTCGAATGGTTTTTTAGTAAGGAGATCAAATGAGATTACAAAAGTGTATAGATAACAATGGTTTAAACTTGAATTAAATAAATATATTATATTTAAAAAAATCGATTTTTGTTCCTTCCATACCAAACACCAATTTCATATGTAAGGATCTAATATTATGTAAAATACACCAGATGTGATGAAAAATATTCTCAAATGCACGACACGTGTATTTACGTTAAAATCAACAAAATATCAAAGAGTAAAGCAAAATATATACCCATAAAGAATATGTTATCTTCTTGCAAAGTGCCAATTATTCGGATACACTTAACCTAAACATAATATTATTTAAACACAAAACGTTGTTTATTGGACAGCTCTGCAACTCGACAAATGTAATGCCTTTTTCGTCATAATCATAAAATTATATAGTTTTTAATTTACCATAGCAATACGATTCAGATAGCTCTATTTTTCTATTCAGTCTAAAGTTCATTACCAAGTAGCAATTGTGTTATAAAATTCACAAGCATTTTTCTTGATATAGCATTGTATCTAAACGCAAATTAATTGTGACATCTTAAATTTCTAACATATCACGTAACCTACAGTAGTAAATCATACAGAAAATTTATTTTTATCATAATCTTGCGACATATCCATAAAACTATAGATTAGCAAATCTTTGCATTACACGGTTACAATTATCTCACTTAATCAAGTGTTTGTTTTCCATTGCTAGGTCAACCTATTTTCTTTAATTTGTTGTAAAAAAAAATTTGAATGCATCATGTATCACAAAAACAATGCGGTAGCAGCGCCTCTTACTTTGATTTATGTAACCGATATGTATAATTACGATATGATCACTAATGCTTGGCCACATCATAAACAGTTAGGCGATCAGCCGCCCATATCATTGAACGCAAATACTCATATTTATGAAATATGACTATTTCGTGAAATGGCCGGTCGAAATAAATGTTAATTATTTCTTGTAGTATGGTCACCCGGGAAGATGATAGCCAGAAGGCAAATGTAACTTGTATTGTTTAAAGAATATGTGACATCTGTTATTTAGTAGAGTAAATTTCATTGCCCTATCTCTTACAAATTAATTGATTTAACTACAGAAAAATATATTATTACGCTGTTTTTTTTCACACACGTTCACAAGCTTTTATTTAACTCGCTTTGTTAGTTAGTGCGCAAATCTTGGAACTCAAATTTGAATTGAAATTTGCATAGACATGTAATGTAAATCAGTTGACAATGCAATATTATGGAGTCAGTAAGTTTAATTGATGATGAAGTCGGAAGGTTGTCATAGGAACTTAGTGATAAAATGACGCAACTGCGTCGTGTTTGAGCTTGTTAAATCCGTCTTTATGAGGGCTTCGATACTGGATGCTTTCCAGAATTAGGTCTGGTGAAAATGTAGCTGGAAGATGGTACTTAGCAGTGAAATAAGGGCATTGCATCTTTTTGGGGCTCTTTATATCCGGACGAACAATAACATATATAATATTAACAGGAAAAACACCCTGCAATACAGATGCTATGTCAGAGATGAATAGGCTGAGACATAACTAAAAAGTAAACAATATAAATATAAATAAAAAAACGTAAAAATATATATAATCATTTCATGCAAGGAAATTTTATAACGTTAATGTTAAAGTACTTATAAATAAGATATTCACAAATAGTAAATATTTTCTCGTCTCCGATTTTATTAGCTATTCAAATAAAAGCTTGTTTTAAAACACTTTTTTTATTATTATATTATTTTTCATATGATCGAAAGAAGTTTTACATTAAAACTTGAAATAGATAAGTGTTGTTTATTTAAAGAATAATAAACATCATCAATAGCTATAACCATAACTATAGCTATAACCGATTTATGAAGTACCTTATATAACAAACATACCACTACAACCAGTCCCGAGTCAATATAGAAAAGTTAATTTTCTAAATTGACCCAACCGGGAATAGAACCTAGCACCTCAGAGATGGCGACACCTTGAATCCGGCGTGCTTATCACTCGGTCTGGCTGTTTGATACTTTTTCTACTCTATTCTAAATTAAGTTTAACATAAAAATGATTATTTGTATTTCAATCACCAAGACATAGGGTATTAATAAATACTTTGTTCCTGGCACTCATTTTTATTAACAATATTTTTCAACATATCTTTTGAATGCAAAATGGAACAAATATAATAACTTATTTTAATGTTTAAATATGTCGATATCTCGAGGAAAATAAAAATAAAAAAAATTGGTTTTAAATGCAAAAATATGGGTCTTAACAGATATATAGAATAGAATAATTCTTATTGAACATAAACACCAGTCTTAGGTAACAATAATATAGAACAAATAGTAGCTCTATGGCGTAGAGGATAATCGCCGCGGCCCGCGATCGTAGTCGTTAAGCAACTTTCGCAAGGGTCAGTCACGGGATGGGTGACCAAAATATTATTATCTCAAGCTACTCCGTGCTTCGGAAGGCACGTTAAGCCGTTGGTCCCGGCTGCGTTTGCAGTCGTTAATACCCTCCAATCCGCATTGGGCCTGCGTGGAGGGTCATAGCCTATCCTCCTTAACCATCCATAAGGAAGGCCTGTACCCCTGCAGTTGGGACGTAAAAGGGCTGGTGGTGGTGGTGGTAATTTTTCCTTGTTCCGCGTGTTATACCGGTGATAGTCTTTTTTCTTAGGTAGTGTACTTACAACAATAAATAAAATCAATGCAATTGACTTAGCGACGGCACGCAAAAATAAACTTAGAAAATATATGTTGGAAGCAGTTGAGTAGTATGTGTGTATATATTTATTATAGAGACATTTTAATCAGTCCAACTGTATTTGTTATTATAGTTATTAACGTAATTAGTGGTAAACGGTAATGGCGGCACAACTATTACGACATCATATTTTGTATCGTATATACTTTTGTTGTAGTGTCATTGTTTGTTCACCTGAATATCAATGAATATTTATAAACGAATCTTAACTTACCACATGGGGACTTCCCGTCTTCACGAGCTCCCCAGGATGGTCAGCTAACAAGCCTTCCAGAGTTCTTTCAGCCAAAAGTTCAGCAGTCAACGGCTGACTGGGAAGACCGCTAGCGTAACTCGACGCTGGTGCCTCATGACCCAGTCCGTTTGTAGTCGAACTCACTTCACTCGACAAATGCATCGTACACGATCTCTATATCACTAACACTGCACAGTCACCGTAGCCTTAGTCATCCGTCACATAACTCGGTCAGTTAGAGGCCAAATTGAACTTTTTTCTGAATAACTCGATGAAGAGCGAGAAGAAACCAGTTCAGTTGTCATCGTGAATGATGATAGCTGTAGACAAAAATATATTAAAAATATGTTTTTGTAAGAATAAAAAGTATATTTTTTCGGGTAAAAATAGACATTAGAACAACAGCAACACTGTGGTATTAATCAAATCTATTGATAAGTTCCTCAGGTTTTTAAGCCTATAAATAATTCTGTACATAATTAAATTTTCTAATATAAAAATCCAAATACATACAGAACTCTTACTTATTACGAGCAAGTAAGTCATTTTATAATTAGAGCACAATTCTGGATCTGGACCTTTTTTTTCTAGTTGTGAGTCAATAAGGTCTAAAATGTATTTTGTGACTGGAAATAAGAGGCAACTGTTATAGCAAACTATACAGGATATTTATTTGTCTACCTGTGTCTGTATGTAATTTGTGTGTACGAGTAATATGCCATTTCTCATAAAAATGCGATGAGATTGTGTGGGACTATAGTACCGAATGAACTGAAAATTGACATTTAATTTCAAGGCTAAATATGTAGATGTTTTAGTGGTAAACTGACGTGCATAAATATTGTCATATTATTGATATGACCGTTGATACTATAAAAAATAAAATAAAATCCTCGAAGCTATCAATGTCAATACGTACGTATACATCAATATAATATGGAACACCCTTGACATTTGAACTTTCTTTACTTTAACTTCACAAAGATGTAACACATTTATTATATTGAATTCTACCTTAGGAGACGTGATGCGGCATCAAAGCCGAGACGCTGCGAAGCGAACAACACAGACTCGGGAGGGGCGTCAGTCAAGCAGACCTGAATAACTCCTTTGTGTTTTTAAGAAAAAAAAATGTAAATATTTCAAGCAGACTCTTTTATTTTTACTATTAATGTTGTCTTTTTGTTCTCTTGAACATATTAAAACCTTGTCATGATTTCATATAAACATATTTATTGTAAGCTGTCCAGATTTTTTTTTACTATACATTAAACATATTTATAACATATCACGGCATTATTCTTCGCTCTGTGCCACCCAACTCTAATAAAAGAATATCCAAGATATATACCTTAATCATTCACCTGTTTCAACGTTACATCGTCAACTGTGATGTTCCTTTCTTTTCTTTTGGTGAAATATTTAAACAACTTAAGTCTCTCATCATACAATCATCTTTCATTACTGTGACGGTATGCATACAAGTTTGCATGTCTGCGACTAACACACCGTCCTAAATGTTTGATTTAATTATACTTTTAATAATTAAATAACTATACAAAAACTGTAATATATACTTTAACAAACCAAACAGTAACAAATACAAACAGTTCTGAAAGTGCATCTCGGATAATACTTAGATCTATCCAACCCCCAAGGAACAGAGCAAATAGCCCGTTATCCATTACACGATATGTCGATTGGCATGTTAAGTTAATTTCGAGAAGGGGTGAGCCCTACGTGTCTTTTACTGCCTTTCACTGTTTGCTTTGATGTCGCATCGCCTTAGGAGACATTTAGAGGTTTGCACGGTGATTTCGTGACAATAGGAACGACCGAACGATTTTATTTTGTCACGGCATTAATTCTAATTTGGACCTTTTTAAATAAATAATGTACAATATCGTAACGTAATTTGTATATGTTAAAAACTCTTTATATTAATTGTGCACCTACGCTCACCATAATCATGTCTCCACATCATAAAAAGGTTAACAAGAAGATAATGCCCAAGGCATGAAATCCACCCTTGTGCATTTAGTATTAAATAAATATAAACAAAATATGTTTATCCAATAATTTGCTATTGATTTCAATTCTTAATTGTTTATTTGTAGTAGCGTAATGCCACAATAGGATTTCTTAATAAAAATCAATCTGAATAGCAAAAAAATAATTTCATAATCCTTTGTATAAAAACATAATATTTAACCTTCGAACGCCGAAGCCACCTGAATCGTTAGAATTCTAATGTCACTTGTCATTTATTTGCGAGTTATACGGATAATTCGTTTTGTTGGAGTTTGTCAGTTTGGATTGATCTGCAATGGTCTACTTCATTATAAAGTTCCTCGTCGTCAACCACAGCGTCATAGTCAGCGCTGTCATAGTATAGGTTCTATCAAATAAACCTACGTCATAAGGTAATAAAGGTTTTATTTCATTGAAACTGTGATTTGACAGTACTATTTTGTAACATAATAGCATAGCTGCTATCAGTTTTAAACAACACAGTTAACTATGATCCTTTATGTAGTCCAACACATGCATACACAAGGAAAAAAATATTAAAAAGCCATTTTAGTAAATTTTAGTTACTTATTACGAAATCGTAATTTAGATTTTCTAATAAAAAATTAAAGTATCTTAAGCATCATACAACCTTTTTAGTCCGTTTAGTTAAGACCATATTACAAAAATTTAAGAAAAATATAGGGAACTAAACTCAGGAACACGATGGAAAATACCTTTTAGCTGAGATTGCCCGGAATTAGGCTCATGAATAGGATAGCAATAAAATCTTAGCTTAAAAACATGCATAAAGGGCAAAAGTCGTAAATAATAAAGCATGTGGGGGCGCCCTACAAGTGGGTGATGCTCGTTACCGGGTCTGCACCCTTCTACAAAAGAACCCGGCAAATAGGGTAAAGATACATTACACTTACAATATCTATATGAAAACTCGACACAGCATTCGGACCATATATATTTTTATCAAAAGATTTTTACTTCCACTTTGTTTAAGCTAAATTATGTTTAAACTAAAGTAAGTAGTACGATTTGCTCTCGAATGTAAATAAAATGAGACACAAAATAAATCTTATGACAGCTTTTGAATATGGGTCATTCTTAGGAGACTCATTATTTAGTTGACTTCGGTGGCAATATTTTGTTTTATAGTTTCGGCATTATTTACATTATGTATCAAATCAATATTTAATTTAAAACATTTTAGTAGTAAAGGGAACCACATAGACTAAATATATAAGAAGGAATTCATTTAAAAAAATATGGTGTCCACCGAAATCAATGTTCTTAGCACCGAAATCAAATATATCAAATAATTTATTTTCTGTAGATTATTTTTCTTCTATAAATGTTTTATTGCCTTAGATAACTTTGAGCATAATGTGTATGAGAAATTACTGGCCAATTTTTCAGTAAAACATTTTTATATCGAGATTATATCCCATTTATTAAAAACCAAAAATGAACCCTGGAAGCGTTAAATTATTATGTTAACAGTAATTAAAAATAGTAGGTAGGTTTAATAATATTATTTGCGCCTGGCAAATGTGAAAAATCTTGTTTGGTATATACTTATATATACGCCAATGATCCGGTTTATACGTTGCGACGCTTCACATCAAAAATGTTATATTCTACGTCACTGCTTTTGGAATTGCATCTTTGGAATTTAAAATGTTGGAGAATACATCATTCATTACTGTCACACGCGTCTAAAAGCTGTCATTTTCAGGCAATTCAATATCTGATGTTAAGGTATGGGACAGGCTCTGATTGGTTTCATAGAAGTGATGAGCAAGATCAGCAGAATAGCTACTGCCAGGTTTAATCAGAATGTTTGATAAAATTTCAGGTTTATTAGATTTGACGCCACTCCCTTTTTTAGCTTGACTTGACTTTTTAATCAGATCAATCTTATCACTCTTGTTCTTGTTGGTTCTATCAGCCAGCACTCCGTTAGTTTGCCTGCCAATGATGTATAACCCTAGATGATAGCCATGTTCACACGAAGCTGAATTATACTTACAGTCGCCATCGGCACAACAAATTTGTATACCGCCTGATGAACTTTCAAAGTCCCTGCAAATTGCTTGGTCCCTGCAAATTGGTGGAATCAACAGCTCTTTTTCATAAATAACAAAATCGTTAATAGTTTTCGTTATAATACCCTGAACAGATTGCAGATGAGTCATCAATGAAGATAAGCTTGTGATATCATTGCCTTGAGCAACTATTCGATCAGCTGTTCTTTTTAGAATTTCACTTGCGTATTTTGTACTATAATTCTCACTAGAATCGCAGTGAATTATGCACTCTTCATCAGCGAGATTGGTTTTCAATTTTTCAATAAATCTGTTCTATGCGATCATAATCCCGCAGTGAATCATGTAACGTGGTAATATTTTTTAAAAATTTTAAAATGGCGTCTTTAGGGAAGGCATTACTTTTATGTTTCGCTGTGTGTATGGTGTTTTTTTTTACTCCATTCTTGGAATAAGTTCTTTTACTTTTTTGCCATATCCAGTAAAATAATCCATGAGCGTTATTGAATTCTTTATAAATCAAGCTTTTATCTTTGCAGTCATCACATTTCCTTGTTAAACATAACAAATTCGAAGAGTCACAGCAGTCATGACAATATATCTTTGGTAGATATTTCTTGAATTAAGCTGCTTTTTTAAACGCGGTCACCATTAACTCCATATTTTCATGGTCATTACAAAGACAAGTTTCTTGTTTATTTACAGTTGGTTTCAGTATCCACAACGGTCGTTTAATGCAAAAACCGGAGTAAATAATTTTACTTTGGGGATTTGTTTGCTTAAATTTAGTGTATAAGTCTTTTAAGGAATCATTTAAGTAGCGTCTTTGTTGTTTATCCTTTTTTTTTGGTAACGAACTCCTTCTTTCCTGAACACATATGACTGTTTTCATCTTCTTCAAGGAAGAGCTTAATGTCCAAATTATTTCTTATTGTTTTTATAGTTTATGATTTCTTTTGTTGATTCATATCGTCAGTATGGGTTTTAATCGTAAGTTCATATTTTCTTAACTTGCCACTTTGGTATTTTAATCTATATAACTGTTTTCGTTGTCGTTCGTTTAAAATCTTTAATTCATCAATCTTTTTTTTT